AACCAGTGTGTTCCTGACTCTCCATTGCCTCTGTATCTGTTTGTATCTCTAACTTGGCTGTAAGCACTACCAAACCAGAATTCATAACTAATTTACATTAGTATCTCCATGTTAATTGTGAATAGTTGCTAGCTTTTTATTGTCCACGTGCCAAGCTTTCAGGATATGCCCCAAACCCGGAGCTCAATAGTAGGACTTGGTAGCTCAGGTTCACCACCATGTAAATCTAACTCCACAGCTTTTGGTAATTTCAGCAGGTAAGTAGTGTAACCCTGTAATAACTCACTGAGTATGTTTTAAGTGAACAATGTACTAATTCTCATTTACAATGAAACTGCCTTAGAACCCTCAGGAAATGTGTGAAGCAGACTTTATGTAAATAAATTTGGGACATACTGGCATAGATTACAATGCTGAATGTAAGGCACTAAAGAACTGAGTGAAATAGTCAGCAGCTCCAGTATTTACTGATAAGAGAATGGAACAGGTTCTCCACTGGTATAAATCAGTATCGCTGTTGACAATTTACAACAAATGCAGAGTTTGCCCTCCTATTGTTCTGTGTGTGCTTTGTAAATAAGAAAAGCGCTGTGTGCATATGGATTTTCTTTTATCGTGGCATTTCCTACTGTTTTACAATTATTAGGTATTTAGGTGTTGCAGTGCCTTGTCAGAAAGTTAAGGGACATATAAGAATTACTACAGCTATTATTAGAATGCAGCAACAGCTCAAATGGAGTCTGATGTATGTTAATGCAAGCACACAGAACATAGTATTTTGGGGGAGTGGAGTGATTAAAAAAAGTGTCCTATTCCAACTGAAACAGCAGCAAGGACAGTGACATTTTATCAATTAAAATCTGATGAGAATGCAGGTGGTAATGCTTGCCCTCCTGCAAAGATTACCATAGGATTTGTAATAACTTCAGGTTGTCAGGACTTCCATATTATGTGTTAAAAAAGACAGACCCTCTAGTACCAAAGTGCCCCCTACAACTAGCATAGGGCATAGATTTCAAGTATAATCCAAGTGAAGCAAGCTCGCTGCTCTCACCACTTCCTTCAGTGGGTATTTCTTTGAATTCTTCAGGATCCAAATACTCATCAGCCTCATTTGAGATTTGTGGTGGGATCACAGCTCATGATGGCATGGCTGCAGTTAATGCTAAGTGTTCATTTAGAAGAATTATACTGGGTTTTAATCCATGGTTTGAGTCTGCAATGTTCAGAATACAGTTTAGCTGTGTTTACTGTAGTTTCCAAGTTTCCTGTGCTTTGTTTTATACAGAAATGGATTGTTGCTTGTATTATTTTTTCTGCTATAGAAAATTTTTACTTACAAGATGCTTTTAAGTGGCAGTGTGCATAAAATTGCGCTTGCTTTTCACCCGGGAAGCATTTGCTCATATTCAGTTTGTCACTAGTGCAAAGATTTAGGTGGAGACCAGCTGATGCTCACCTTGCAGTACCCTCAGCAGGGTCTGGTCTTGTGCCCAAAGAGGAGCTTTTACTGCTCCAGTAGGGAGTTGTTGCAGATGCAGATTGAAATGCTTTTATGAAAATACAGGAAATGGCATTTAAAAAGTCTGTGCTCAGTGGCTTTCAGAGCAATGCCACATTGGTTTCATTTATATTTACAATTGGTTATAAGCCCCTGGAAAAGGCCACATACTTTCTATGGAGCAGGGGATGTTCAGTCATTAGCTTTATTAATATAAAGGCTGTATCCATTAAGGTAAAAAACTTGAATAAGCCATTTTATGAAACAGTGGCTGACAATTTCCATGATCAGAAAAATATTGTATGTAGCTAAATTTTTTAATAGATACATAGTTATTTTACAGCTTGCAGGTTTTGTTTGCATCAAGCATAATAGAAGGTTCAGCAGAGAATCAAGCTGGTGTAGACAGACTGCTGCTACTTTGCACCTCGAGGAATGGGACAGAGGGAGGTTAGCAGGAAGAGTGAATGAGACTGAAGCACCCCGGTAACACCACCTGCCCTACTGAATACAGCTGCTGAGCAGAGGGGCAGCCACGTGGGTGTGCAGCCTTCTGCCCATCTTTCTAGCAGCTCTGTTCAGGCTGGAGTTATAAATCACAGCTTACCTGAGCAAGGATTTGGCATTCCGCGTTCAGGAGTGCATGTCATTCCTTTATAAACCATCTCCCACCGAATTTGTTTACGTACAAAGTAGGTGTGAGGTTGTAAGATTTTTATCTTGTGGGACAAATACATTCTTAGTATGATTCCTTTGAATTTAGTGAAGATGACCCAATGTACTTAAATTAGGTATCTCTAAACAGAAGTTAAAAAAAGCTGTAAATATCTAGCTTGTCTTTACCCTGATGCAAACATTTCTGACATTATTATTATAGCTTCTTAATGTTTTCTAGCACCTAAATTATAATTAAGACAAATTTATGATTTCCTCTTATTTTTGTGAGTCATTTCTTACTCAAAGGCAGGCAGCAAGAATATCAAATCTTAGCAGTAAAAGTTCAGTTTCCCAATACCTTAATGGCCATGAATTACAATTAACTGATGACCTTGAGTCCCTAAAGGATTTAAAGAGTAATTTAATAAGAACGTACTTACACCAAGCACTAAAAATACTCTTGTTTCTGTATTGTAGTACCCAACTGGGTCACTCCTTTGCACATGTCACCTTATCTGTAAGAGTATATTGCTGTAGAGAAAACTTGAAGTATTCTGTGGTACATTACTTTTGCTCAGGAAACTCTTTTAATTTTTGTGCTGATAAAGATATTAACTGAGAAAAATAAGACAAATCCTTCTTTTCTGAACAGCAGTTGAAAATGTGTGTTGTGACTACAGTTGACTGAAGCTCAATTACTTTAATAAATGTATTCCAAATTTCATCTCTATTATATTTGCATTTTAATGAACGATTCTCACCTACTTGTCAAATAGACAGTGCAGCTAAATTTATTAAGTTTTGTATAAACAGAGTATTGTGATGCCAGAATTTAAATGAAGAAATATTTGATATCCTATTCCAGCAATATACTGTAAATCTACAGTGTAGAAAAGTACATTGGTCACCTCTGTATTTTCAGTTTGGATTTATTTTACTGTTTGGCTGACAAGAGTCCATGAACCTTTAGGGTCATTCATAAATATCCCAGAAATAATTATATGGAATTATGAGAGGATGAGGATTTTTTTGTTTAAATCAGGTAGTTATGTCAGATTTTTTTTAATATGTTGCATTCTAGAACATTAAATCTATTTTATTTCTTTTTCTGTACTTGCAGACTGTAGAGCTGCTTTTTGTTAATACCTGAGACTTCAAGGAAGTCATAGACAAAAAATGTTCATTCACAAGTGTGCATAACATTTCCTATTCCTATGGATATATGAGAGTGATCCTTGATTTTGGTATACACATCTTAAAGCCTTCTATATTAGATTAGCCTTAAGAAAAAGTACTGATTATACTTCCCACATATGCATCTTGCTCCAATAATACTGGTTATGGCTGGTAGTGTGAAAGAACTTTCTAGTTTATAATTATCTTTCTCTACCACTTGTCTTTGATTCATGTAATGACCTCACTGCTCGCTATCTGTGGCATTATAATACACATCTACAGCAGGGGGTTTGCTCTTTAGGAAGGTTTACATTAGTGGGTGCAGAAATGTAGGGAAAGAACTGTGACACGGAAAAATATTTTTACATACAAGTATCTTGATAGATGACAAGAGAGAGAAAAATACTGAAAAAGGACATAAAGCAAGAATTTGAGGCCATTACACGTTTTCTAGGATTCCAAGAGGAGTCTGTTTTGCGAAATACTAGGTTCTTAAGAAGAACGTTAAGCCAGCCTGACATGACTCCGAAATCTTTACGCTTTTCTGAAGCATGCAGCATTTCTTATCAGGAATATCTTATTTTCTTATCTTTTTTCTTCTTTTTCCGAAGTTAGTGTAAAAATATATAGCGGATAGGTTATCTACCTGAACTGGAAATGTTTTCAGGCTTGTGTTTATAGTTGCTGAACTTAAAAAATAATGGTTTGGGGATTGGGTTTTTGGTTTTGTTGACATTAAATTGTGCAAGTGGTTTTTCATCGAGGGAAGCAAGGAAGGAGTAAACTGTTCCCCTTGAGAACTTGTGAATTTGATGCCTGAAATTTGCACCTTATATGACCTTCAGGTTCTTTAATACAGGTCTGACAAGAAAAGGGAGTTATTACTTGTCAGTAAAACAAATGAGGCCCAGCTTTCAAGCCTAGATTGTGTTTGAAAGAATCAATACAGTCTGATGACACTTGATTGAAAAGTCAGCAACACATTAACTTAGAGGGATGTGTCCTATGCCTGGATAGTATGCTTGTCTGGCTTGGATCAGCTGCTACATTCTTGCTAACATTTTAATCAAAGGCTATAGAGTAATTGTGTGCCATATCCCTTTCACTGCCCTAGCTCACTTCTTTTTACCCCTGTTGTCATCCGACAGGGAGTGCATTATGGTTTCTTCTTTATTTTCTTCTCTTGCAGTAATACCCTGCCTGTTGTCTTCAACTCACTCACAGGCTTCACTGGCACCTTCCCTGTTACTAACAATGCAGCCTTCTGACAGAAAGTGGAATTTAGCAGCTAACAGGTAGCTTCAGGGCAGTGCCTGTCAGGCTCTTGACAGCTGAGTTTAAGACAGTGAGGGGCCCAGTGGTGAACTGGCTGCTATAAATTAGAATTAGGGTGCTTTTAAATCAAGTAGTAGACAAACTGATGCAGTTCAAGACATCCAATAGTTAACCTGTGTGGTGCTGAAAGAGATAAGGGAAAGATCTCCCAGCTTATACTGGGGAATTGTTGTCCTTTGTTATCATACTGCAGAAGAAAATACTAATGTTGAACTCTTGAATATAGAAGAATGTGAAATCTGTTAAAAATTAAGTTGGTGGGCAACTGAGAAATCAGTCAGTTTGAAAGCTTGTCTTTAGTACACTGACAACTTGTGATGATTTTTGTCAGGCATCACGTCAATTCTGTGAAGCAAGGTGGAGAGTACTTTCATATACTTCATCAGGAGTCACTGGAGAGGAAGAACACACTGAAAGCAGCCCAGCAGGCTCAGGGCACAAGATGGAGGTCTGAGTTCCAGCCACCCAAATACTCCTCTGCTGAAGAGGAGTCAGAAGAAGAAATAAACACGTAAGTTAACTCAGAGGGCTTTTGGTGGTCTGAGGGCAGTGGTTTTAAAAACCAGCAATTTCCAATTTCTGTTATTACTTGGTATTGAGGCAGAATATTACTACTTGTGTGAACTAGAAAGAGAAAATGCTTAAAATTTGGGGTGAGCAGCTGTAAACTTAGCAAGCATGGAAGAATGAAACAGCTTCAGATGCTGTTTAAAAAGGAAGAAATTCAGTAGGCAGAAGGTTAGGGAACTCAGCTTCCACAGACAGCTCAGAACTGCTTCTCTGAGAAGGAAAGAGACCTGGTGAGTTTGTGCAATGCTTTTGTTCCCACAGTAGGACGACAGCATTGCGCATAAAAAAGAAATACATTCAGCAGAGTAAGTGGCTTAGCTTGCAGAATGGGTTTCTTCCCTAGTTCAGACCTATTACTACCTTCTTCAGGTTTTCTCTCCATTTGATCATGAGGTAGTCTTCAGTCCTTTGGCTCACACTGGTCTTTTCAGTGCACCTCTAATGCCTCTAGCAACAATGTAGTTGTCTTCCATTTGTCAACCTTCACTATGTGATAATTAAATACTTGCTCATCAGGACAGAGTAGCTGTTCTAGAGCTGGAGACTTCATGGCATCAAAAGCTTACCCATTTCTAACAGCTTTTCTCATCAGCTTGTTGTGGCTTTTGTCACTCCTAGGTACTAGCTGATTCTCACTCACCTTTTTGCCATGAACTGACTCTCAAGTTGGAAAACTCAGTCTCCAGACTCATCTGAGACGCAGTCACACCCTAGTCATAAAGAGGGATAATATATAACCATTATTAAAAAATAAGAAATAATATCTTTCCAGTTAATATGAAACCCAGACCAAACAGCAAACAAGTAGCATAGATGGGCTGAGAGTTTCTGAATAGAAAAGTGTCATATTTACTAGAGTAACATTTAATATCCAGCATTCTAAACAGTCACTAGCCGAATAGCTAGAAAAGATGTGAAAGGAATACAGTATTACTGGGTGATAGTGTTATGGAAGGAGAAAAAGTATAGAGTATGAGTCAAAGTATTCTGGAATGTTAGCTTCTGCTGTGTGCATTATCTAAAACTTTCTCCTTACTTAAGTCACCTACAACTGAATTATTTAAATGGCAATATGAAACACTTTGATCCTAGGTTAATGAAAGCTACATGAACATTTGAGGTAAACAAAATTATTTTATTAAAAAATAATAAAAAAAAGAGTTTAATACACAAGAACCTCCCTGAAAGCTTTCTGCAAACTTCATGCATATTATTCTTTTTTATATGTAACTGTTCTATCTGCCCACAACTCAGCTAATCCACACTTATTGCAGACAGATAACTTATTACTGATGTGAAATATACCATTGCATTTATTATTGTGACCATTCAGATTATTGAAGTAATTTATTTTCTCTTGTAAGGAAAGGCTTCTTTCTTCAGTAAGGCTGACCTAAAAAGGTTTGACATTCCTCTTTCCTTTATGAAGATATACCTACATAGGCAAAATTATCTTCGGTTAAGTATAGCTTCTCCTAGCAGTAAAAAAGCTTTTACTAGTGCAGAGTATACCAGGCTTGTGGGTGGATACTGACAAAGCCACTTTAATTCTACATCTGCACCAAGATTTTGTGCGGGTTGTAAAAATTTATTAAAAATTCTTACGACTAACATCAAAATCTACACTAGCAAAAATTCATTGTGTAATCCTGGTATACTGTAATATTTTCGACGTGATGTTTAACACTAGTATTAAAACTAATATTAATTGAGAGTTTAACTTCATTTTTAGAGGAAAGACCTTGTAACATCTGCCAACAATTCTAATAGGGGAATCATTAGATTTAACAGGTTGAGGAGTTTTATGGAGAATTTTCTCAACTCCAGGGTGTGTTGGGTGGTATGGGAGTACACAGTGAAGCACATGTGAAACAAGAAATGTGTGGCTTTGACAGGTGTGCCTTTACTCATTCAAAGTGTCCCATGTGATTTACACACATGCAGGAACTGTCAGCTCAAGTTAGTTCCAGTTGTGTGCTGCTATACCTGTGCTTGTCTGCAGTAGGAAAGACGTTAAGGGGGTCAGGGCAGGAGAGCCTAGATGCAAAATACAGGTAGTTTTCTGTTGTGGAAACTTACTTCACTCCTAACTTTCACAGTGCTGACTTCAAAAAGTAGGAACCTCATGGAATAGGAAAAGCTCTGTGTTAAAATTTTGGGGCACAAAGTGTCTTTTTAACAGATGATGTCTGGCTTCAGTCGTTCACAGCGGGTGAAATGGCATGGTTCTATATGCACAGATTACAGTGCTGAATGGAGGCCTTTCCCACCTCGCTTCCTCTATTTCCCTGTAAGACAACAGCAAGTATTAGTCCCTCGACTGGGACTTTTTTACTGCTGTTGTAGCATTTAACTGTGTTATCAACTGTTTTGAATGTTTGAATGTATCAGTACTCTTAACTTGGTAACAGCTTCTTATCATAAGAGTAGACAAAGTAGAAGTAAATATTAGTTATTCCTCATTAGCAGGAATATGGACTCGTCAAACATGTCAATGTGTATACCGTGGTCCCACTGTCTGTTCTGGCATTCTGCTGTTCATTAGGGCTACAGAGAAGAGAAAATCAGAAGTGTGATTTGAGGAAGGACGAGACAGACATGTTGTTGTGAACCACAAAGTCTGTGGAATTCATGCCCGATCACCTCTAATAAGTACAAATTTGCAGTTACAATTTATCTAAGATTATCTGAATGAAGAAAACCACTTCTTGTGGTTTTGTGTAAGAAATTTCTTTTGGGACAGCAGGAACACCTGCCAGCTTATATCTTTGTTAAATATCTCCTTTGTTAGATAAAACAATATGTAAGCTTATTCATTTCTTAATTAACTGAAGAAAATAGACATGTTGATCTCTGTGTAAATGTAGTCCTGAGATGCCAGCATTGTATGTACCATTTATAGTTGCTGCTTTGCTTTAGAAAATTTGTATCAGTGGAATGATTGGGGCACACTCCTCAGCTCTTGGTCCAACTATTTGTAAGTTCACAGTAGGCAGCAGTAAGCTGGCATCCCCAAACTGCTTCAGATATAGAAGGGAAATGTTAATCTAGAATGATGCATTCATCTAGGAAGTCTCTGCTAAAGAAATCTGCATATAGCTTTAAGACTCACCCACCACTCAGACCTCAGTTAACCTCTCAGGTATTTTTTTTTAATGGCCAGTACCATTTCAGTTTTATACTAATTTATGTTCATGTTATATTGTGTGGACCTCCTATCTTCTGTGTACTATTGATATACGCAGGCTACAATATCTCACTGCTCTTATTAATCTTGAATCTCCATTGTCTAACACCAGGTGCAGGTAGTTATTTACATTTGGGAAAAACAGCTGTAAACTTTTCCTTTTCTTGCTTGGTAGCATTTTATAAATGCTTTGCACGGGTGTAAATGGCCAGACAGGCTTGTGACAGTGAAGAGCTCAGTTTTCTGTTACATTGGTTTGGCCAGTACTCCAGACTCTTTTACATTGGGGTGAATCTTTTCAACTAAATCTTCTTTGTTTTCTGTGCACACAATATGTTAACCCAGGAAAAATTGAACAGAATTTTATAGGCACATCTTGAAACTTTGGCCTTGTGTATATAATCCCACTGATGCCATTGGCATGATACCAACAGAAAACAAGTGTAATGGAATGTAAGCAGTATCTCAGCATCTGTTCTCAAACAAATCACTCGTGGGTTTTTGCCTGCTCCCAAATTTGATTTCACATAAATGCTTAATTACTACTAATAATAAGTAGTATAAATATGTAAATACAAATAATACTATAATTATAAATTATAAAGCACTGTAAACATATTAGAAGTAATAATTATATATCCTGGTAAACATAAATATCAGGTTTATAATATTAATAAATGATAATAAATGCAGTAATTAACAATTTAGGAATACACCTACGTGGGATTTTTTTTAATGTGAGGAGGAGAATAGGGAGTGTGGTGATGTGAACACAATAAACAGTCTTATTGGCAATGTCTTCATTTCACATACTCTTTTTTTAACTTCAGTATTTGTTCTTTGCCACAGTTCTTCTCTTATAGAAGACAACCCCCTGAGGAAGTCAGGGAAGAAGAAAAAAAAGATGACCTGGTCTTTCACTCCAGTTTATACCAGTGTCTTGATTCCAAGCCCCCCTGGAGCAAAAAGGTATATTTGAAGGCAGACTTATGTGCTGTTTTCATTGGTAGAACGTAAGCTAAATTCACAGCAACACAGACCCATAGCACATACATTTTTACCAGCTGAACAGCAGCTCTAGCTGTATACTGAGAAATTCAGGAGTTTAAGGTGAAATAGTCTGTCCTTACAGCAACCATTCAATTCTAACTCGAAATGATTGAACCCTAATGGGTTACTGAAAAGTTTGTATGTGCATATGTACACAAACGCACATCATTTGCCTTGCTGATCTTGACTCAGCACTAAGTTGTGTAAAATTTTGCTTATGAGGTACAGCTTTCAAGATTATGCTCATTTTCAGGAAAGGCTCTCAAAATTAGAATTTTCCTAGTTAAAAAAAGTAGTCCTACAAAAGAGAGAGGGAGAAGACAGTACCTGTACCATGTACACATTTATATATTTTGTATTAGTCACTAATACTCACTATCTATTGTGTTCTATGTCCATTAACCCAATTGCTCACCAGAAGTGTCTTTATTTACATTTGCATGTGGAATAAGCTAAGATGCCAAAGATAATCTTAGTTCAGAAGAAGATGGGTCCAACATTTTAAACTCACACACTGCTTTTTCAAAAATGCAAACTTAAAAGCTACTGTAGAATCCAAAACCCATAAGCATCCCTACCATAAAGGGATAAATGCTGGAACCCTCATAGGTATGAAAGCACTGAGCACGTCACCAAAATAAGTCCCTTGAAAATTTCATATCCAAAAATATGCTTTCAGGAATCAGAGTTATGTATCAACATTGAAAAAACCTTGAGAGGTGTCTAGGATTCACTGCGACAATAAAAACAATCTGCTGTGGAAATGCTTAGATGTATCTATTTCAGCCAACATGATGGCAGTTTGACTGTTTCCCTGACTTTTTAGTATACACATTTGTTTCCCTTCTTTTCAGTGAACATCTTTTCCGACAACTGTGTGCCATACACTGGCTTTTGGAAGCTTTGACTCTTGAATCCAACAGTTCGATGCATTCCATATTAACCTGCTGGAATCCAAGGTATGTCTGCAATGCATGACAGTAGATGGGATGAGGAGTTTGGGATCTTCTGTCCTCTATATGTGATTGTTCCTATTCTTTAAAGTAATAACTATTTTGAGTGAAATGTTGTTAATTCTGTGGCATGCAACATAAAGAAATTTTGCATCCACTTTGTCCCCATGCAGTCAGCATGGAGTTGTACAGTCAAATCAGTAGCACAGCATGGTTCTCTTCTTGCAAGTTGCAGAACCGTAGGAGAAAATACCAAGCTATGCCAGCCAAATTTAGTTGTGTTTTCTTTCCTTTTTCTCTTCTGGCTAATAATTATGCAAATTAAATCCATGTAGTAATAGATGTATGTATATTTCCATAGCCTTCCCTTGGAGGGTTATCCCAGTCAACTCAACAGGAATTCCATAGACGTTATAATTACAGAACAAAGCCAGCTATTAAATGATATTTAGTAGCTGGTTTTATTCTATCAATTTTGTATGACAGTGACGGGTATTTGTAAAAGATGCATTGCTGCTGCACTTTTATACTGTTAAAAGTAAATATTAATTTAAGTTCCCAACATTTTAGTTAATATAATCATGTTGACATAACATATATTTTAAGTTATTCATGAGTGTTTGGTAAAACACTGAATGGTTTATGCTGTGATTTGCAGTGCAGAGCTCTTCAAATCTGTTCTTTTTCTCTGTATATTCTCTGTCAAATTGTGCCTATGTATAACAGAGGTGGCATAGTAGCATTATATAGAATTAAACTGATAAATTGGAGGAGATAAATCAGTCCAGTAGGTATTGTGGATGGGTTTTTCACCCCTTTACATATGAGGACAAACCAATAGACTGGGATAAAAGAAACAGTTTGTCAGCAAGTCTCATGGATACAGTCTGACAGCAGAGCATAAATGCATAAAGGTCTTGATTAATTTCCAGGTTCTGAAGTAGTGCAGTCTCTTGTTGTATACTACTTTCTGCTCACTGTTGCTGTCTTTAACCACCAGTCCTCTCCCTCAGTGTCATTTGAACTGATCTGCATACACACGTTCTTCATTACACCGTATCCATGGAAAAATTAAGCTTATCTTTAGATCATACAGTCTCTGCACAAAAAGAGATATTTTTTTTTTCAGTGTGGTTAAGGAAAGCAACCTTAGAACACTGATCTGCTCTGTAAAACCTTTGATTTGATGGGGACTGAATGATAAATGAGACTACCCTCAGCAGTGACCTGTTACGCCACAGCTGCAAGGACTGCAGCTTCCACATTTACCTTTGCCAACATGATACAACATTTAAACTTTTAGACTAGTACAGGTCCTTATTCAGCCAACAGCACTGAAAAATCAAACTCATGTGAACCTGTTTGTCATTTCTATCCATAACATCTTGCTATACTGGACAAAATTCTTCAGTACTTGCTCAGAGGAAGCTGAGAGCATAATCTGGTCCAGTGCATGCATCATAGTTTGTAAAATGACTGTGCTTTCTTTAGGTGGTTCTTCACTTGTGACTGTAACTTAGTCATGGCTTATACACCTTGCACTGTCTTTCCCTTTCCATTTCTTTTAGGCAAAGATACACATCATAGTAGCAGTCAGCCACCATTTACACTCCATTTATTGCATTTCTTAAAAGAACTTATAATAAAAGCAAGATTCTCAAAATAGAAAACTAATTAAATTGTTTTCACTTAGGGACCCTGGTGGTTGGAAAAAAACAGTAAAAGAAACTGAGGAGAAAAAGTTAGCAACATACATGTGGGAGCTGTTTATTACAAACACAAAGGTAACTTTCTTCCTTAGGACCTAATCACAACTTTTCAAGCATTTGTTTTGTTGCCTAGTTGAACTCTGTGAAACCATGTTTTATGCTCTGTGACTGCAGAGTACTTGTGTGTCTACGTTTTGAAGTAAAACAATTTGATACTAGGTAATAGGAGGAGCAGCACGTAGCTGATTGAAGCTGTAGCTTGGTCTTAGTGATAAGTACTGGTGTGGGAAGAATTCAATATTCAGCTAAAACATAACTAGCCTCTTGTTTGCATTTGCCCCCTTTTTTATGACCCAGAGTCCTGTAGTAGTACTTGTTCACACAAATAGGTCTCTTTCAGTCACGTGGAGATTTTGGACTGGTAGCCTGGAGACCTTATTCTAGTAAGTTCTAGTCAGTATTTGTTTGGTTGCCTTTTACACAAAATTTAAAGATAAATTTGGAAACAAATGCCAAATGCTGAGGCCTTTAAAGAAATCAGATACACTTGCCACATTCAAAGCAAAGCCAAAGAAAGGAGAAAACAAGCAGTTTGGATGAAAGCCTTTTAGAAGAAAAATAAAATCAATACCTGAGAGGAAATGAAACGTTATAAAATTATCTTTAACACTTGGTAACTGTTTTACTATCTTTCTGAAACCTCAGAAAAACTTTTCTTTTTGAAACTGCTGAAGCAACTGGAGGAAAATGAAGGGGAAATGAATGATGCTTGGGAGTATAACCACGAGAACTCAATAAAGAACCAGTGGGTTTCTCACTCTATAGCATATCTTATATTTTGATCTTCAGCAGTTTGCTTAAGCTTTTAGTTCCTTGCTTTGCCTTCTATAAGGCTAAATTAAACAAATTCTGTAAACTGCTTTTAGAACCACAGGTGAGGCACTCTTAGAAATATGAGCTGTTGTTACATGCAGGCTATTTGCTCTTGTTATTTGTCAACACCTGCAGCTCATACTCTCATGACATAATAATTAAAGTGATTCAATAGAAGATTATGATTATGGGGAATAAGCAGTGCAAGTTGTGAAACTTTTAAAAGACAAAGATCGTGGGGTTTATGCAAATATTCTTCCTGCTGTTAGCAAACAGAGGGAAAGTTAGCAAGTCAGATAAATAACAGAGTTGTTTCTAAATATGAGGCTTTCTGTTTTTTCCATACAGTCTTACCAATTCTCTAAAATCAGGTCCAAATGAACATGAGCAGAAGAAGTGCATGTCAGTCTTGATGTGTCTTTTAGCATTTACATTGCTGAGGCTTTTATCTTTTTCCTCCCTGAATAATGACAATTTCCTTTCTGTCATTTACGGTAATATTACTTGGACTGCTTTTCATATTTGATATGAAACTTCTAGTGGAAATATTGGGTTCCTGCAGGGGCACTTGCTTTATAAAAATACATATTGGTCTGATTATCAAACCTGCAGAATTCAGTCTGCTTTCAGACTCAGTTTTACATTCCTGACACATGAAATTCATTTGCCAAGTTACTGGGTGGTGGGAGGAGACCCAAACATTTATCAAACCACTTTGACCTATACTTTCCTGTACATGAGAAGGTTGCTCTATTAGCAACCCTCTCTACAGTTTCGGTGGCACTTGTTTACGCATTACCTCAATCTGTTGGCATTAATGCTATAGCAGAGGAGTATTGAAGAAAGATAACAAAATGGAGGAGGTCCTACCCAAGAAATCAATAGCTTGTTTGAAGTCACTAGAGAAAAATCTGTGAGGGTGAGGTTACATGAGGACCAGAAGGATCTAATATTTGAATTAGTTACAGAAATATGATTCTTTGTTGTCAAATCACTGTAGAAAACCCCTTCATTCTATTAACTTTTTTCTTCTATTTGCAGAAATGGGCTTGGAAAGCACGATACAATCCACTGAGCAGGAAGATAAACAAGATATCTACTCCTCATATCTCTCAGCTTAGCAGTCAGTCATCTCCCCGTGGTCAAACCCCTCGTGGCAGTGAAACTTCCACTGTACTTTGCTCTGAAGACAACATCAAGGTTAACGTAGCTTCATTGAGTAAGTCAGCACAAGCTAAAGAACAACCACCTCTTTTCCCATGTAAGTCACTTTTCTTGACTGCCAATATAAAATGGATTTGTGTTTGGTGTTACTAGTGAGAACCTGTGTCAAAGACACTGCAAGATGTACCAGTGTATTTCTCTTGAGGCATAGGGAACTTTGTACAAGACTCTCTCTGCCCTCCCTATTAGCGAATTGGTTCGAAGACAATATAATCCCTTGTGACTATTAAGTAAAGGGTTTTAATTAATATTCAGTTACAGTAGTTGTATAATTAGACTGTCATCCACATCTATAAGGTCAGCAGGTGGTGAAGACAGTGAAAATGTTCTCTGCCATAACCAACTGATTCACTGAATATGTATCTGTCTAATTTAGGGGGTTCTGTTTAACTTAGGGGTTTCTTCCTCTCTATTCTTCCTACTCATCCATCAGTGATTACCTGTGCTTGATAGACCTGACAGAATAGTTTATCTGTTAGCTCTGCAATGCATTTCAGTACAAAGCTAGGTAATCTTAAGTCTTTTCTCTTCCTTCTAAGTAAAGCTGGACCAAAAAAGCATGCTAGCATTTAGTACAGATAATCACCTTTCAACTGATATTTATGTCATCATTATTAGGCTGACATCATGCCCTGCTAGACTCTTAAATTACCACTCAGGAAGGAGCTCTTGGAGTCATTTGGGAATCTTCTGTGAATGTTCAGTAGCTCTCAAAAAGGCAAGAAGAACCCTAACAATGAAGTAGAAGACAAAGCAGAAAACACAGTGCAAAAATACAGATGTCTTGTGTGTGCTGCTTCGGTTCAGTTCCGTTCCTTCCAACTCAGGCTGGTATCAGAAGTAGTAAAGTTTGATGGCAAAAAAGTGGTGAGATACATTAAAGACATAGAAGAGCTTCCAGATGAGAACCTATTAAATAGACTAGGGCTCTTCCGTACAGAAAAGAAACAGCTGAATACAATGTTATGACAGATCTCTGTAACATCATGAAGTGCATGGAAAGAAGTGATTAGAGAGTGGTTATTCACAGGTTCCCTTGACACCAGATTTATGGCACACCAAATGAAATTATCTGACAGAAAATTTAAAGTAATGGGAAGTGTTTTCATGCAATGCATGATTAAACTCAGAAATTCTTTGCTACAATATATTGCTGGAAGTATGGTCAAGTCCAAAAGCAATTTAAATGAATAGAAGAAAAAACAATTAATTGCTCTTAACTGTAAAGGAATGGACATGTTCTCTGGGTCAGACAGAAGCTGGATGGATGTGTGGGGAAGCTTGGGCCAATATCATATGCTACCTGCCCAGCTGCTGCTTCCCATGGTGCTGAGCACAGAGGGATGACCTTCCTCTGACAGGAATGGGAGTAGCGGAGAATTCCAAGCTATAATTGCAAGCAATTTGTTTACAGATGTAGGTGAACAATTGGTTTGTGCCTGAGATGAGATTTGAAAATAACACTGAGAGCTGTAACAGCTGGGGAGCCTCCGTTTGCTGTGAGACATAAGGAAATCTCTTGTGATATGTGTGAGGTATGGGAAGGTTGTTCAGTGTACCCTTTGGAGCAACAGCTATCCCATGATTGCCTGTGACTTCAGGGGACTGGCCTGAGTTACCAGTCTGGTCCCCTCAAGCATTATGTTCCTAGCTCTAAAATATATGGAAGTTAGTTTCTGCAAGGCTGCTCTGTAGCAAAGGTTGAATTCTATAATGAACTGGGAAGCTGCTAGAATCATCTTTAATCCAGAATTCTGATTATAGGATGCTTCATGGACAAATCAGAAATGCCCTGTAGCCTTATACCCCAAATTCACAAAGCTTCATGTAACCCATACAGACATGACTTTGAGAGCACACACAACCCTAACACACACACATCCATATATATATATGTATATATTTCAGAAGTGAGAAGGAGGTTCTGTAATAGGCAGCTAATGAGCAGATACAGCTGAGTGTGAATCTTACAGAAAGATTTCTTTAAAGGAAAGAAGTCATAACTCAATATAAAGCCTTTTATCGAACTGTAATTTAAATTCTGTAGTTTGGGGACTGCTGCTGTAGAATCTGTGCTTATACAAATTTGATTTTTCAGTGCTGTTTGCTGAGTGAGGACCTGTACTAGTCCAAAAGTTTAAATGTTACATCATGTTGGCAAAGGTAAATGTGGAAACTCCAGTCCTTGCAGCTGTGGTGTAACAACGGGTCACTGCTGAGGTAGTCTCATTTATCATTCAGTCCCCACCTAAGCAGTCAAAGGTTTTATAAAGCAGATTTGTGTTCTAAGGTTGCTTCCTTCATCACATTTTAAAAAAAAATCTCTTTTTGTACAGGCAGAGACTATGGGATCTAAATGTACTAAATATAAACCTAATTTTTCATGGTTATTGTGTAATGAAGAATGTGTGTATGCATATCAGTTCAAATGACATAGATTTTCTTCACACTATGAAGTAAAATGTGAGACCTGTATCAGAGATTAAACACTAACTGGATTTTATCTCCAAAGCTTTCTAGCCAGCAGTTTAGCTTTTAATTCGGTCAAACACATAATTTTAAAGGGGAGGTATAAATATTTCTGCAAAGAGTCTTCATTATAAAACTTGCACCTGAATTTGGGGCTTTTCTTTGGGATTGATCATTGTCTGAATATTAGTACCCCATTTCACAGATGATTTACTAAGGCATAGAAATCAAGGTCAAGTGAAATCACTACATTCTTCTTTGCTGTTTTTCTCTTTTCTAATTAACGTCTGACTAGTTCATGGCTGTGGAGGTTAATATTTCAAAAATTATGAATATGGACAAGCTTGAGTGTTTGTTCTCCCAGTTTCTCCAGATGGAGAATTGGAACAGGTTCTAATGCTACAAAATGGAGGGCAGAGAGGTGCCCTCTGTTTATGTTGATCAGCCAAAAAGAGAAGCTCTGTCTTTGTGGTACTAACCCTGGTTTGCTTCCTGTCATCTCCCTCCCAAATCTGCCAACAGGTCTGCTTTCAGGACTGGCTGTAGACAGCTCAACTGATCTTGGAGAAAACATCAAACGCAGCCACTGCTTAGCATAGCCCCCTTCCCCCAAAGCACCGTTATCTGTGGAGTAGATGGGTTTCAGATATCCAGCTACTCAATCTGTCCAGATGGTAAACATAAATAGAAAAGGACTGTGTTCTTCTAAAAAGGGTTCTGGTGCTGCATGCTGAGAGCAGATGAGAGTTGAGTGCATCCTTAGTTCTAGCAGAGGCTCCTTGCCTGTGTTGACATCAGGTTCCAGACCCTGTGGGGGTCAGCATTTGCGTTCAAACTGCTCCTCAGCTCTAGAGCTCTAGAAGGTTCAGTGTTGTAGCCAGCATCTTACAGGCTTATGCTTTGAGACTAGTAAGGGGCACAGTGGAGCCGTCATTAGAACCAGTCAGTGCTAGAACTTGGGAATTTCCAACTGGGACCTTGGCACTCTTGAAACTCACCTGGCCACAGCTATTAGAGGATCTTCATTATAAGTACGGTTCCTAAAATCTTAGCCCATTAGCTGATGCCAAGCAACTTGTTCCATCCAAGTCTTACATTTATAAATTCACGGTATAATATTCAAATCTGTACTTTTAACAAGTAGAAATAGTTTGTGCTGCTATTTAACATAGTCAACATCCAGCAGTCATCTTCTATTATACTATATGCGATGTTTCCCAAAAAAGTATGAAAAGGAGCTTTTGAATTTGGATATTACAACTTCAAGGTGTTGAGTGCTCAGTAAAATGTCAATTATTATCATGTAGGACATATTGAGCACCTCAGAGTATAACTTAAAATTTGACAGCTAACACTGGGATTTTTTAATAACAAGTGTGACAGTTGTTTTACTGCATGAGTGATTGGAGGGAATAACACAGAGAAGATGGCCGTCTCCGTGTCTCTCTAGGGGTCTGGCATCAAAGCAGGACTGAAACAGCAGTGGGAATGGAAACAAAGATGTGAATTTGAAGGAAAACAGTGAGCTAAATTGGCTTTCCAGGTATTCAGGGGAGAGGAGAATATAAGCATTCACATGACAGTGGAAGGCAGAGAGAAGAGAGAGTGTTATTAGTGAGAGAGATCTGGATCATTGTGAAACTACAGCCAATGAAGGGCTACTTGAGGACACATCTTAAGTTTTAGTGGACACTGATAAGGAGACAGAGAGAGGTAATTAGATACCTGTTGATGTTAAATTCTGCATGACATTTAAAAGGAGAATGGCAAACTGATACAGTAGACTTAGAAATTCAGAAGACTTGACAGTTATGCCAGTAGAATGCTAACAACACAGTACAGGAACTGAAAATGGACTTTCTGCATAGATTGTTCAAATCTAGCTTTTTTTCTAATACACTATTCTTACAGGCATGTAATATAAAAAATATTTAGTATCTCCTACTTGATCAGTTTGTTTTTTTGCAGCTGAAAGAACATAGCTTATGTTTTCAAAAGTAATTAATGAATTGGGTGCATTTGTATTTGGGTATCTTGAAACCTCTTAAAACAGCTGGGTTTTTTTAGAGGAAACTTTAACTTTTTGAAATACTAAGTATCAGGTCTCTTTAGGATGTCTCATTCAGGCCAGCATATATGGCATCCTCTCTGCAAGGAAGAGAGGAAAGCACTATTGAGTTCACATGTTTTTACAGAACTTTTTTTATCAGCCCTACAGAAAGTCACCCAGATAACACGTGAAGAGGTGTCAAAAGATGTCCATAAACAAGAGGATGTGGTTAAGAAGATTGGATTGCAGCGGTACGTTGCCTGATGGTTTCTGAATGACTAGGAGAAGCAACTCCTTGGGACAGCGCTTATGCTTTTTTTTTTCTTCTTTTTTTTTTTTTTTTCCTCTGAACAACTGAATCCAGCATTCAGTAAATTCAGATGATGTTTACATGTTTTGGTGTGGGTGGCAGAATAGCCCATTTTACTGCTGTGAAAGCAGTATGTATTCTCTGGAAAATACCCCTTGGGTCTTGTTTTTGCAAACAGAATAGATCTTATGCTCCAGCAGCTTTGTAGAAAAAGCGATGTTCTATCTTACTCCTGTAGAATTGTTTCTGTTTCTACCATTGCATTTTTCAGTAGTCTCTCTACAACGTTTCCAGCTAAGCTTACATTAGATGTGTTCCCTCATTCCTCAGTTCAGTGGTAGTTTCCACAGCTATAAGCTCAATATGACAAACCATTCTTACAATTAGACTTCGCTGAAGCATTTTTTCCCCTTGAGTTGAGGTCAAGAGAAATAAAACTTGTACCCAGATAGCTCCAGCAAGTCTATAATATTAAGAATGTTTTATCAGCACCTGTAGAATTTTTCACATTCTGAAGAAAGCATTCTGTACACTATTTTAAACCTTGTCATGTCTTAGCTTGTTGCCAGTGGCTCAGAAGAACTACAGAGTAAACATGCCATTCGTTAAGGACCAAGAGAGTATACTCTCAAGGAAGCAGAGGCCCAGAAGGCAGGGGTAAGGGTACAAATCTGTATAAACTCAGCTCTGTGTGAAAAGAATTTGGTGTGCAGATGTCGGGGAGCATTTTATTACATAAGACCACAGCAGGCCAGTGAAACCTTGCAGCACATTTAGTACATTTCAGCGCAATGAAAAGGCACTTTTCTGGAAGGATGTGACTATAAAAATCCAAATTTAATATTATTTACAATTTTTTGTATTAATCAAAACCTTTTGTAAATTGGGATTTAAACCAAAAAAAAAGTAAATTATTTTAAGTTTGGATTGTTACTGAGAACGAGGAGATCTCAGAATTTATATGGGCTCACATCGCTATATGTTCTGAGCAACACAGGTGCTTACCACAAATGATTGCCACAAGATATTAATTCTGATTTTCTGTGTTATTTTAGTTGCAGGTGCCATATCGGCTCTTTCATTAAAAGCAAATCTAACTTGCGTGCTGATATGAGACAAAAGTTCACAGCAGTACGTGAAGAAGCAGCTTGTCGTTTACATGATACCCTAGTGACCCTTGAGAGGTAGGAAGAGTCTGTTTTCTGTATACTCTTTAAAACACTACACGCCTTGCTTCTGACCAGATTTAGGACTTGTCTTCAGGCCTTTTAAAGATGCATTTGTATGGATTGACATTAAAATAAGAATACAGGGATGATGATAGAAAATTTTATAACTGTCTGTGTACAGAAAATATATTACAGGTTAAATATTTACAGCAGTGTTTTGAGATATTTCTGAATTACTTTTCTGGAAATACTTTTGCTAAAAACATTGGATATATTTACGTTGGACATCCTAGTCCTTTTCACCCAAAGACAGAAGAATAGATTCAGTCTACATACAATCTGCATGACTGTCTTGTGTTTTTAGATCAGAGATCACTGTTTTGTTCTTCAACATTACTTTGACTCTTCTCAGTGTCCTCTCTTAACACCTTTTCCCAGATTAGTGACACTTCTACCTTGTTGACCAGCTGAAGCCTGCCATCCTTTTCCTTTACTCAGAAACATTCACCTATGATTGTGCAAATTCTTTTGTCTCAGTAAGCATCAGACCCGATATCCTTCTCCACATGGCTGTTCTGAAGGGTTTCATAGGCACAGTTTTCTTTTCCCCTCTTCCTTCTTCTTTCCATTCTTCTGTTCCATTTCATACTTAGATTTTTTTTTTTTTTTGTCTCCAAGGATCTGGGTCCTTGTTTTCTTCCCTGAGTAGCTGCTGTGGCTGCATAAGGAACTAATCATTCCAGCATCCTACAGTATGGGAGGACAAGTCAGATGGAAACTTATTACGTGCAGCTATTTTACCATTCTCCATACAGCCACACAAGTATATTCTGTTTGATCACCATTTGGAGATGAAGCATCAGTTTAGCCGGATACAGTATAAGTAATTTATTGGGAAGAAAAGCAGATGTTTATTTTTGTTAAAACCTAGTAGTACTTTTTGTAGGAATGCATACATGAGTCCAGTCTCTGGGTCAGAATTTGAGCTCAGGTCACTCTATATTTCACCTCTCTTCTGTTGCATTTTAAGTAATATTTTGCTCTAAATCACTGTACAGTATTCTGTTTAGTTTTAAGCAGTGGATACCTGATAGTGGAGGTTGAATTTTAGATTAAATGTTTTGATTCAGAAATTCATTTCTTACCTCCAGCCTAGAGTTAATATAAAACATAAACATTTAATATGTTTATAGAAATATTAATGTATACAAAACACTGCAAAACCAAAAATTTTTATTAGTGTCCACAGACTGAACATAGAATGTGTTCTTCACATTCATTGTTTTCTGCCTTCCTTAGTTATCTTCCCAGTTAACTATGCAGAAGTATGTTAATGTTTAAAACACAGCTTTAACTTTTAAGGTTTTTTTGTAGGAGGCAGGAAGACCGATGTTATCAAAAATATGAAGCTTTGAAACAATTGAAGTATTTCAGAAGAGACATGGAAAGAATAAGACGGCTGAGCACAAGATCTGAAAGAGAACATGATGAAGGTAGACTAAATTGGTAAGGAAGCACAGAAATCCTCAGTTCAGATGAGGTGGCCAGCATCTCAGAGTTCTGTCTTTAGTACAGAAAGCTTTTTTTCTTTTCCTTTTTTCTCCCCAAAGCCAAGAATCCCTAAAAACCATTGAATCAGTTGCTGCAAATTCAGGCTTTTCAAACTGGTAGCAACAAAAATACAGATATGATCTCTAGGAGCAGATCTCAGCCTGCTCAGCAAATAGGTTAATTGGAAATGGTAAAGAAGGGGATAGTGATGAGTTCCTTTCCAGTGACATTGAGCAAAAAAGCACTCAGTCCTTGCGTTTGTATGCCCTCCCCAGTGTGCAGCTTTATAGGAGACGTATTCCACCAGGAAGTGTGTAAAACACACTGTACCCTGCAGATGGGAGAGACTGCATAAATGTACACGGGTTAGATTCACAGCTTCTTAATGAACTGAACATTCACAGTACTAAAACTGATGGCAAAGGAGACTTTGACTTACCTGTCCATCTATGTTAAGAAAAATGTTTCCCTGCCAGTGTTTGAACTGCATATGGATGATACTGTGACGCTTACGAGAGCAAGTAATCACCTAAACGCTTCCTAGTACAGCAGATCTGCAGATTACTAGTAGTTTATGCTGGAAAGGATATTAGCTGTATCCAGCGATCAACTTCCAGATACACACTAGGAATAGCCTACCAGAATACTGCAGCAAGTGTGTCCCCTATAGCCCTGTCCATGAGACCTCCTTGGATTTGGGATTATAGAGTATGCAAACTTGCATGGAATGCTGGTTGGTTTGTTTTTTTCAGCCTGCTCTCTTTGCTAGTAAGCCTTCTGTCCTTCATAATTTGAGTTAACAGAAAGTCCATTTCTAATCTCAGGTCCAAAATGCAGGTAGCCTAGGACACATTAGGAACACATCAGTCATGCATTAATGAATAAACCTAGTCTTGGCCTATCTAGCAGAAGTCTGGTTTTAGCTTTCAAACATACATGCTCCTGCTTTCTCCCAAATTTAAGATCTGGCATGTAAATAAGCCCTGAAACTAGAGTGGATGTGGTTTTGCTTTTATACTTATAAATCCCTCTAGAAGAGGCCTTAATTTGTGTATTATAATATGGCTTTTTACTTTTCCTCCAGTGTAAGAATAGTACTAAAAGTCCACTGTTCCTTCATATGAAAATCGTGCTTCCGCAGTGAGGAGGCTGTCTTGCTTTGACTGCCAGCATAGCTGGATGAGTACAGCTTCCTAGGCCAGGCCCCTTCTGCAGGGTGCTATCCATGAGGGATATGAAGAGGGAATTCTCTGACAAGGCTGGTCAACCCCCTTGTGGAGACACAAGTCATGACAGAGAAATGGCTTTCACCATACCTCTTGTTTCATTACAATAGGGCTGTTTTTTCCCATATTCTTGCAAACGCTGCCTTGCCAAGAAAGCTGAGTCACAGTAGGAACACTTTACTAGTATGTGCTGTCAGTCGAGTTGTCTTATCTCTTTCATGAAGTGCGAAAACCCAAAAATAATATAAAATATGAATGGTGCAATGTAAGTACACTAAACATAGCCTCGTTTCTGAAATAAAGTACCGTAGTGCATGGATGGGTTATAAACGGCTTGTGTGTGACACGGTTATGGTAACCTGGGTTATCTAGTCAGTGATAATAAGGAGTTGGCCATGCACATACCAGCAGGGTATGCTGAGTGTAGAACTGGCCATAGGGAAGATGAGAACCTAGATCTTTCCCTTTTTACCAGTTTAAAGAGGAAATTCCTCACCCCTTTCCTGCTGTCCTGGTAACATGCATCCTAAACTGGAGGGAGGCAGCTCTTCCTGCTGATGTTTTGCCTCAGCCCTCTGTAATGAAAGCCACAGCACACCCCAGCCATGCATGATAGAGAAAGGTTTGGAACATTAGTCTCCAGGACTGTCAAAGCAGCACTGCAGAATTTATACAGAACATTAGAAAAAAAAAAAAGCAGTCTTTTCACAGTAATTTTATTTTTATTGTAATATGTAATTCTTCTGAATCTCTGTATTCAGAGTGAAATGGTAAAGACTGCATGTTACAGTGCACTTACATCGGGGAGATTTATGTCAGCACATAGAGAGAGGAGAATGATGATAGCACAGGGAATAGGGATAGTAAAGAGAATCAGAAAGTGTATCAGATCAGGCACTGATTGCACTGGAAAATCCGTAGAGCCTAAACAAAATAAATAGAGAAAAGATGAAGAGGACAAATCTGTAGTAAAATGGAAACATTTGTTAGGATTTTATTATTTCCTTTCATACCCAAGTTTGTCATTCAAAATTTAAATGAACAATGAAGAAGCATCTATTTCAATGCTCTGCAGAGGGAATTGGTGCACAAGTCCAATAAAGTAAAGCTCTTTCTCATTATTCACTCAGAATTACACTGAGTATTGCATTCCCCAAAGAGCCGTTTTTTCTGTGGAAGTTATGGAGGTGGTGAAGTGGCAGAAATGCCAGGCAAACCCAGAGTTATTAATCAGATATGCATTTGTTCCCATGGCTTCTCTTTTATTGCTGTTCCTCTTTTGCTAAAGGTTTCCTGTATTGCTTGCCAGACTCCCAGAGTCTGTGAAGAGTGACCATTATGTACAGAAAATTTTAAAGAAACTGGAAAAATATGGCAAGAGTCCTGACTTGAAAATTCATCCAGACACCTTTCTTAAGGCTCTGGCTAATCTACAAGTGTGGGAGCTCTGTTCTCCAGAAGTTGCTGCAGCTGTGGAGGTGAGATGAGTTTAGTTCTTGATTCTCTGTGTGATGAGGGTGGGGAGAGCAGGCACCTATGGGTGAAATTCATGCAGTGGAAAGTTACCAGAGGAAATAATTTAGGACATCACTAAATGAAGATGCTACCATTCACCTTTTACAAGGCACTTTGAACTCCTCAGATGAAAGACATTATGACAAGTATTGGATTATTAATCTGTATAATTTTATTATTATGTCATTGTTGATTTATTTACTGCCACAGTAAAAGTGGCATCTGTCATAAATTGTTAGGACACTTGAAGAGAAACATTAACTTCTTGTGCCCTGAAAAGGCCTGTGATTCCCAGCAGTTACATCCATGAACTGTTCAAGTATTACACCACTGATCCAGGAACTCTGCAGATATCTTTGTTTTGCTTCAGCAACATTAAAAAAAAAAAAAAGGATCTGCTTTTCAAGATCTTAAGTTGGGCTCAGCTCTTGTTCTAGAAGCAATTGGCAGAAGAGGAAGGACACAAGAAAGGGAAGAGAATATACATAGAATGCATACCAGTGTGTAGTCTAACCCTGTCACTAACTTAGAAAAAATGGCAATGGTGCCACCTTGTGGTTTTTATTCTCATCACAGTTACTTCCCCTAAGCTACAAGACCAACAGAAATTCTGAGAGGCAGCAGGTTACTTTGTGTCTTACATATATTGAGTGTTAATCGTGCCTTACAAAGGCAAAGGTTTTAGGACCCAACATGTCGAGGTCAAGTTACCTGTATTTTCTTGATGACTTATAAAAATAGCCTTTTTGTCTTGTGCTCTAATTTGCACAGTCACTAACCAGAGAGGCAGCCTTGCCTTAACGTTCAATATGTAAGTCTCTGTTGCTTGCCGGTTTTAGACCCATTTTTTTTGTGTTTACATTTGGTTACCTCTGCATTTTGATCCCTCACAGTGCAATAGTAATATAGAAAAAACATGTGAGCATAGCTGGATCTCCTATCTATTTATTTATGTCTTTCAAAGCACGCCACAGAGGAAGGAGGAGTTTGGTGCTCCTTCTGACTGGAACAGATAAAGGAAACTGTTGCATTTTAGGAGCTAGAAGAGCATCACTGAATATGAACTGGCTGATACTGACAGAGATTCCAGATTAAGTTCTCACTTTGAGTTGTTTTAATGTATGTACTGCAATAGTAGGTAGAAGACAGCTGCAAGTTTAAAATACAAAGGCTTGACTTGGAATGATTCAGAATATAAATTGTAATAAAGACTGTAGAGTTTTCCTTTTAATTCATTTTAGAGCATATCCAGCAGTTCTGCAAGTTGCATTAAAAATATTTTGGTGATACGAAGCACTATACTGTCTGCAGAAAGCCATTACATTTGTTCTGTTGTCACAATGGTCAAATTTTCCCACATGTTATGTCTCTTACACATGAATCAAAAGCTCAGGAAAGAACCTTTTTCTCTTTCAGTTTGTACGTGAAAGTATTGTCCAGATGCCAGAAGAGGATTTCAGCAAGTGGTTTCAGACAAGAGTAGCCCCCCTCAGTGCACAGTCCTCCACCTTTTAATCCAAGATGAGATGGATTTCTAGCTACAGCTGTCTTCAAGCAGAAAACTACTGCCTGTTGAGATCTGCCCCAAGGAAGACGAGGGAAGGGGGGTTAACTTTGGGAGGTCCCACTGACCACTCTTGCACAGCTGTGAAGTTTGTCCCTCTATAGTGCTCCCGTGGCTGTAGTCAGCCATAGAAAATAAAAGCTAAATACTATTGCTCCTTCCTGTCTGATCTCTTGGACACATTGCCAGATTTTAGTCTCATCCAACCATGCATGATGAAGACCGAGTTTCTCATCACGGGTCATGTCATTTCTTCAGACAATACCTACAGTATAATAACTCAGTACAGATGTACTGATTTCCATATCTAAATAGCATTGTCTCTGCTCTTCATTTTAGCTCTCCTTTATAAAAAATATCCCAAGAACAGGGTAGTTGTAATCTTTAAGACAGGTTTTTTTTGCATTAATTCTTTTTTGTAATTCAGATGTTTTATTGAGTTTATCCTGTAGTTATTCTGTGGTTATGGATTAATTCTTGCTTAATTAAAATCAGTATTGAAAAACCAAGCATCCTTAAATGCATTTCCCAGATTTTCACCTGAAGGTATGTTTTGCCCTGATTACCTTAGCATGTGTTTGCCATTACTCTGCTGGGTAAGACAGTAGAGTTGACCCCCCTGAACTCGTCGACAGTGATCGATACATGACCTTTGTGAACCTGTCTGGGCTTAACTGTGTATTTCATGGTGGGTTACAATTGCTGGGTGATGGAATCAGTGACCCAGTGACCTTCTAAGCTGATGATCTCAATGAGCTGCTTACCTGCCTGTCAAAGCTTCCAGAGGACCCAGTGGGGAGAAATGCCGTTGTTCTGTCCGGTGCAGTAAGGGGGAACAACGCCATCGTAGGGTCCAGGTGAGAACAATGACCACTGATGTGCAATACATCACTGATTAATGGCCTTATTTTGTCCCTTCCTCATTATCAAGCGATAAATGTTTTTCAAGGAAAAGATCCAAGAGCACAGATTACTTTGATTTACAGCCATCAGATAAAAGTAAGCTTTTAAAGTTCTGTTGCGCTCCCACTTTTCTCATTCTGTATGTGGTGGTGATAAGGTATCATTTGCACAGGTAGTGAAGCCTTATTTTCCCCTATCGGTGCTTTCTTTTCACTTCACCTCAAAATCTAGTGGCAAACTTCCCTCCAAAACTCTGTAGAACTGAGTAAATTGGTGGCATTGCTTCTGCCAGATGAGCCAGATGAGGTCTCCTTCTGACCTGTGAGATCTCAACTCTGTTTACTGTATGCTCCCTTTTCTTCTAACTTCCTTCCAGCCCTCCACGGGTTTTGAGAAACACAAATTCTGCTGTTCTTTTGGGACCATTTCACCATAGTCGGAGTCAAGTTTTCAGTGTCAGTGTTGCTGTGTTACCCTGTGGCAAACAAAAAGAAATCTTAATTTAGCAGCTTGGGAGATCCTGGTTGAACTGTGGTTACGCAAAGTGAAATCTTCATCTTTGTCCTCCTCACTATATGGAACTGCAGATAGAAGCTATGGTTTTTCTTAAATTTAAGAAATGGAAACAAAAGGGCTTGTCCTCAGCTGGAGTGCATGAACCATGCTGCTGAAATAAAAACTTTATACCAGCCAAGCATGTGACCTAATGTGTCTGCCTGCATGTAAGATGAGATGATTGTGCCAAATGTAATTAGCTAATGTCTGAGCAGCTCTCTGAGCTCCCAAAGCAGGATGTCAGTGCTGAATGTTAGGAGTCTCTGATGTTTTTGTGGGATTGTGAAATATCTTATGCGTGTTTTCATTTGACAAGGCTCTTCTCTCTTTCCTATTGCCACCAGGTAACAAAAGGGACTTCTCCTCTAAAAAGAAAATAAATTGTATTTTCTTGCCATCCAGCACCAGCCTAATAAAAAAAATTCTGCTTCTTTTATTCTGAGGTAGAGGAGAGGTCCTCTGGAGCCAAATAGCAGCTTCCCTTTTGCTGCTTCCTGACAAACTTGGAGTTTCTTCAGGGAACATCCTTGACCTTATTCAAATCTTTGTCTGCCAGTTTAAAGGACTGGAACAATACAAAGAGGCTACAGGTCCATATCCAGATAAAAGACGGGCTTTTTCAACTTTCGGGAGTTTTACCTGAAGATTATCTTGGATTCTCCCAAACACTTCTGTGAACAGTGAACAGTCTCACAATCTTCAGCTCACTGCTTCAGTAGACCCTTGAAAGGTAGGTTCAGAGTTACCCATTTCACAGAATCACCGAATCAGCTAGGTTGGAAAAGACCTTGCGGATCACCCAGTCCAACCATGAACCTCACACTGACCATTTCCAACTCCACCAGATCCCTCAGCGCTGGGTCAACCCGACTCTTCAACCCCTCCAGGGATGAGGACTCCCTCCTGCCCTGGGCAGCCCATTCCAATGCCCAACAGCCCCTTCTGGAAAGAAATGCTTCTTAATATCCAGTCTAAACCTTCCCTGGTGCAACTTGAGGCCATTACCTCTTGCCCTATCCCTAGTTCCTTGGCTCAAGAGACTCATCCCCCCTCTCTGCACCCTCCTTTCAGGGAGCTGTAGAGGTTGATGAGGTCTCCCCTCATCCTCCTCTTCTCCAGACTAAACCCCCCAGTTCCCCCAGCCGCTCCCTATCAGACCTGTGCTCCAGACCCTGCCCCAGCTCCGTTGCCCTTCTCTGGACATGCTTAATTCCTTCAATGGCCTTTTTGTAGTGAGGGGCCCAAAACTGAACGCAGTCACCGAGGTGCAGCCTCACCAGTGCCGAGTACAGGGGTCAGATCCCTTTCCTGTCCCTGCTGGCCACGCTATTGCTGACACAAGCCAGGATGCCATTGGCCTTCTTGGCCACCTGGGCACACTGCTGGCTCGTGTTCAGCCAGCTGTCAGTCAACACCCCCAGGTCCCTCTCTGACTGGCAGCTCTCCAGCCACTCCTCCCCAAGCCTGTAGCACTGCTAGGGGTTGTGGCCAAAGTGAAACACCTGGCATTTGGCATTATTGAAACTCTCCAGTTAACATATTGGAGATGGATGCACCAAGTGTCCAAGCAATTTGCTGAAGTTCAGCAGAGCTTGTGGTAGAGCCGCTTGGATGAGTGTTCCATCTGCTCATCCTTCCTCCCATTCTGTTGTGGTCCTTGACCGTTTCAGCTAATGGGCCAGTCATTCACAAATCCCATTAGCCAAAAAAGCCATGTAAGCTTGGGTTGGTCACTTGATGCACTGAAGGGATGTCTGGGGAATTCTGGCACTGAACTCAGAGAATCTTGATCCCGTTTCCTGCTGCCTGATGTGTTCTCAGTGTCATCTTAAACCCCACCCTTCCCAGACTACATCTCTCTGAAACTGAATTAACATTGTCCTGGGTCTCACTGGTAGCAGGACAGAAAGTTGTTGCATGAGAATTGCTTGGATAGTAGGCTGGCAAGGAAAACTCATAAATTAAAATAGTAATGCCTCTTTGACCATTCACCCTTCTCTTCTGCTTTACAATGGTTCTGAAACTGTCATCCCTACTCTTTTCATAGGGAAGATTTTATCATGATAGAAAAGGAGCCAACTATCCTATTATATCACCAACAACACTCCCACTGTGTCTTACATTGGATGTAAAAAACAGCATTTTATAAACTGGGATATAAAATAAATATCTCTGTCTTTCTTGGAGATAGGCTGTTGTGAATAAATGTCACAGTCATTGTAGGGGTATTCAGAAATCGGAGTACGTCCTTCTAATCGGAATTTCATCTTTATGTATTGCCACTCTATTCTGCTGTCTTGTAAATTAATGGCACCATGCCAGCATGTTAGAGATGCAACTAGCCTCACATATCAATAACAGCAATTCTTTTTGCTAAGTTTTAATAAATACCACTGCTGTAGCACTGCTGAAGATAAAAGCTCAGGCTAACAAACCCCAGGATATTAAGGTTAATGGAAAGCTTCTTACTGACCCGGTTGACTATTGATTGCTGTAAAATCAGAATAGGTTGTTATGACAAGTGAAACGGTTGATCTTGTAACCAGCAGCTTGATCTTTTATGCAGGGCACTAACTGAGTGCTTGTAGCCATACTTTTGGCTACGCAGGGAGCCTATACAAAGGAAAATAAAAATATGCTTCCTAGTAGGAAAGCTGACCAACCACTAAAGGAAAGTAATCAAAGAGGAAAAAAGATGTGACAGAAGGAATGCAGCTGGGAAGAGTTCTCAGATACCCCAACCTTAATTTCCTGTCTCTGGTGAGATTTCTCCTCATGTGCCTAAAAGCAGCTTCCAAAAAAGGATGAGTGCTGGACATGTACCAAGGGCCTGAGGTCATTGATCTGGACAAGTCCTTTAGCTGTTTAGTTGCAGAGTGGTTTCTGTACAGACCAGTCTTCTTGCTGAAGTCCCTATCCTACTTCTCTATCTTCCAAAGACTTGATTTCCTCTTTCTGGATGTTAAAAGGTTCAGAGGCCCCTTCAAGGGGCGTTTTACTGGGAAGCATATCTAAGTAACAATTTAATGATTTCGTACTATTAGGGACTGGTTTATGTGAAATAATATCAGAGCTGTTTTGAATCATCAGAGTAGAAATAACAACACCAAACGTGTATGTAGATAGGACTGTTCTTCATCCATTGCCTAGAGCACAATGATTGGAAGTAAAGCTTAATCTTTCTCACTTTGGCTGGAACTGAATCGTACTTTTGAAAGTAATCGCAGGCTCTGTATCAGGGAAGGTTACCTGGCCCAGCCCACCAGGTTCATCATCTAGAGAAGCTGGATGTCACGTCCCGCTCCGACGAGGGGGACAAGTGACTCAGATTCGCAAATCCCCAATTGGAGCGGACAACAAGTCTCCAAGTTCAAGCATTTATTAACTACCTACAGTGCACTAATTGAACACATGATAATTGGCTAAGTACAGAGCAAGCTGTGGCAAGCAATATAATATGCTTTACATTTCTTAACAGAAACAGGAAAAGAGGGAGATAGAGGGAATGGGGGAATACAGATCGCCGGTCTGGGTTCCTGCGCTGCTCCTGCCAGCGAGGATTCCAGGAGGCAGCTATCTTCTTCGCTGGCATCCGTCTTCTTTGCTTCACTGCTCTCTCCAGACGGCCGGG